AGCCTTGGTGAGTGGAAGTCCATGTTGCTGTGCCCATGCATAACCTCCATCCCTGCCACCATGTCCACTTTGTTCATGTGCCCATTGGGCGATAACAGGAGTGGCAGAGGAAAAAGGAGAAGGGAAATGCCAAACTTTTGAGTAAGGATTTTGAAAAGCAAGACTCTAAACAAAAAGAAAAGGACTTCACACACACACACACACACACACACACACATATAAATTAGAAAATAAGTCGAGATAATTTAAAAACAAAGTGACATAACTGATAGATTGTTGATAAATTTAAAGAAATAATGGGAATAAAATTATAAATATATGTGTTTATGTAAGGTCTTGTACACGTGTATTTTAATTATATATAAATGTGAATTTATATATATGTAAATACTCCAGCTGAAATGAAGATAATTATGGTCCAATAGACAGTTTAAACTGGTAACATTTGAATTTCTAAAATAAAATGATTAAAAGAGACGAAGCTTATTACTGTGTGATAGAGGCTGGTGGAACCCCAAGGCTATAGGCTACAGTCACTCTTGGGGTCTGGAATGGAACTCACCCATGTGTTAGAATCAGCAACCTCTGAAGATCAAAAGAGCGGCATTTCTCCCAGGACGGAGTTCAGAGAGTTCTTCAAGAAGGAGGGATGGAAACAAGAAACAGAATGGGGAAGTAAGGGGATCGTGATGCCACATGGGGAGGACTGCAGGGAATGAGATGAAACGGAATGTGCTTATCTGCTCTGTATTCCTTCGCGTACTTCGCAATAAATACCTTTAAAAAAATAGAATGACTTCCATAAACATTGCAATTTGAAGATTGATTCAAGATTCTGAAAACATGAATAGATTGGAAAACCTTTGTGTTAGTCTGGGTAGACCAGAGAAACAAATTCATAGACATTCATATGTAAGAGACAGTTTTATATCAAAGAGCCAGTGTATATTGAGAAAACACCCCAGCCCCGTCCAGATCAAGTTCATAAGTTCAATATTAGCCCATATGTGTGATACCAGTCTAGACATTACTATTCAGACTCACGCAACACATGCAATGATGTTGAATGCAGGAAGATCACAGGTCAGTGGGTGGAAAGGCCTGTGGATCCAGTGGCAGTGGAAGCATCTCAACACTGCCACTCCACGTGGCTCCTCCAGCTCCAGGGCTCTCACGTGGCTCCACGTGTCTTGTCAGCAGGAAGACAAGCAGAGAGTCTGTGTGTATCTGGCCTCCAGTAAGCTAGTTATCTCCATGGCACCTCCAAATGAGGTCATCAAGCTGCGACCCAGTTGACAGGCTGGACTCCACCCCTTTTCTAGTTGACACCAGATTCTGTAACTACCACAACCTTTGAATCGCTGAATTAAAAACTCTGAAAAGTGACAAAGATTTCATTATCAGAAGTAGATATTTTCCCCCTGCATTTTCAAATAAATAATTTTCATTGTATATGAACTGATCCTAATCATAGCCCTAACTGGAAGATGACTGTCTGATTTACTTTGTTGTATAGACAGCATGCTAAATCTTTAAATCTGACCAAGACAAGGAAAGAAATGCAGATTAGTCTTTGTAGCTAACGTGGATGTAAAAATCTTAAATGAAATTCTGTCAAATAGAGTACTTTAACACATTGAAAGATTTGCTTATGATGACATACATTTTTTCTCCTTGACATATATAAAGAAAAGGAGAAAATTGTAATGGAGAAAAATCAAGGTATAGTAGAGTGAGCCAGTTTATTATGACATGAAAACTACAGATGGGAAAAATGACAGTAATGTACTTTTACACAAATAATGTGTTTACATAAGTAATACACACATTGCACATATAAAGCAATAGAAGAAATAAGCCACATTGTTGAAATTATATCAAAGGTTTAAGACTTGTCATTGAAAACAACAAAAATCCAATACGATGAAAAGGCAAGCACCAGAATGGGGACATCTTTGAGATACAGTGTATTTTCCCCCTATGAGGATAAGGAGCCCTGGTGGTGTAGTGGTTATGTGTTGGACTGTGATCTGCATGGTCAGCAGTTCGGAACCACCAGCAGGTAGCTAGCTCTGCAGGAGAAAGACTGGCCTTTCTCTTCCTGTGAGAGTAAGCATTGATCTGATGGCAGCAAGCCTTTTTCATGTGAAGATATACTTAAAAGATTATAAACAATTGTTAAGTGTGACTTAGTCAATTCCAATGTATAATAATACTACGTATAAGAGTGCAAATTTTATAGCATGATGTCTTTATAATCTAAGGGTCTGGTGGTGTGGTGGTAATGCGTTGGGCTGCCACCCCAACAGCAGCGGTTGGAAACCCCCAGCCTCTGTGGGAGAAGGACAGGCTTTCCACTGGTGTCAAGAGTTATGGCCTTGGAAGTTCGCAGGCGCAGTTTACCCTGTCATACCAGGTCATATGCGTCGGCCTGGGTGCAAAGGCAGTGAGCTTGAATGAGTCTTTATGAATTAAGTGAAAGCATTTACCTGTGATTACATTGTGTACACATGCGGACACACATTTAGTTCAGGTCTGAATATAAATGAATAGGTACATTTGATCTAAATTGTTGAAATTGCTAGTTACTTTGTTAATTTGAAGAGACAAAAGTTGTCTCAGGGTCTTCCAGGGGATGTTCATAGCCCCTCCCTGAGAAGCAACAGATTTTCCCAGTGCCCTAGCAGTTTACATTTTGTGGCTTGTTTTCCCCAGTGTTTGTATCAGTCTTTGGTGAACGTTTCAAGGAGTGGGAAGCCGGGGAAGCCTAGCGTGGCCGCCGTGGCGGTGAGCACCCAGCATGGCTCAGTGCTGCAGCTCAACGAGACCCTGGGAGAGAAGCACGTTTGTAGGTGTGTGTCTGTTTCGATGTCGCCCGACCGAGGCCTCCAGTTTTGCTCTTTTTGGTTCTTAGTCTTTCTGCCCTCTAGTTCAGTACTATTTTATATAATTTTAATAGTTTTCTACATTCTAATTTTATGCTCTTTTAATATTTTTCTGCTTTTTCCTAGTCAGCACGTAGGGTGCATGTCGCTCTGTCTTGATGACGCTAGCCAAATCTAACGCTTTATTCCAGAGCTAACCATTTTCCTTTTTGTTACCTATTTCTCATAGGCTGGAATACAAATTTGGAGAATTTGGGAACTACTCTCTGTTGGTCAAGCGCCCCAGTAATGGAGTCAGTGAAGTTACTTGTGACCTAGTTGTCAATAACAAGCCAGTCGACAGTAATCTTCGTATGTATATGCGCTTCATTGATTGTTGTTGTTTTCTTTGAACACTTACTGTTTGTAAAGCAAAGCACTTCATGGAGTCCTGTGATTCAAAACTTGAAGTAGAGGTTATTTATTCCATGTAGTTTTGACAAGATTATAATGTACTTCTATGTCATTATAATCATGTCATAATTAGGTACTGTATCAACATATTCTTGTAGTCGCTACTTAGTTTATTTACGAAACAGAGAGGAACCAAAATAAGTTAATGAAGTGGAACGAAGCTAGAAGCAGGGTAATTGTCTGTCAGGTATCTTGTTTCATGGTTCATTGTTTCCTGTATATTGTTGTCCTTTTTACAACGATAGTCCAGAGTTCCAGGTAGATTAAGAAAGTGTCATTCATGAGGAATGAGTATCGAATGAGGAAACTGTGTGACACACCTCCCTGTTTGCACTGTGCCAGGAGAAGCCAGCTCCTAGCACAATCACTACGGGTTTGGTAGGCACAAGTGGACAGCGATAGTAAGTAAATATTATAACAAAGTTATAGAGAGCATGAGAGATAAAAGAGTTATATAGAAATAAATGGAGTCAGACACACTTCATGGTAGCATTGCTCACCTCAGCCCCGCCTGGTGGTCCATGTGGAGGGAGAGAGATGGGAAGGAGGAAGGGAGAGGAGAAGGGGAAGAGAGGGGAACGACCAGGGAGAGAGAGAGACTTTAATGCTTCCCAAGCTTTTATCCTCTCTGGGGATGTGCAAGCCCCCTAATTACAGGTGAAGACATACTTCACAGGAAGGGGTTATACTATGGGTTATACAGTAATGAGGGGGTGGTCTAGGGACATACACACAATAGGAAGAGGAGGGATTGGGGGGGATACATGTGACAAAATGGGTGGATCCTAGATTTAGGATGGCAGATTAACTTTGACCTGTTCCTGGGTCTCCATAGGAACCATTATCAGTAGGGTGTAACCCCCTCCTACAGGAAGCAAGCTAAGGGTCCCAAACTTCAGAGAGAAGTAGTCCATTGTCTTCAGCAGCAGGGAGCAGGCCCAGTGCAGTCTGGCAGCTGATTGCTCTCAGGGGGGGAATGCCTGCACATCTGACCTCCCCCCACAGCACTGGATGATTTTCTTTAAAAGTTTTCATTGAATTAGTGTTTATTGATTAGCCTTTTCAACATGCACATTTAACACGATGTTCTTCTAAATTGAAACACTCTTAATATTATACTTCAAAGTTGATGTCTTTGCGAGTTCTCACAATATGCAATATCTGAAGAATATAGAAGGTTTTTTTTCACTTAATGAAGCAACTCACAAATGCTGATGATACAAGTTCACACGTAATTGTTCTCATTTACAATCAAAAGATTGGTGACTCTAGAATTCCTGTAATCACTACATGGAATACACTATATTAGTATTTCAATAGTTTATTCCAACCCATTTTTTTTTTTATACTTTAAAACATCTTCACTGTGTTGATTGATGAGATAGGCCCACCGGAAGACCAGTGTCCAAGGTCAGTCCAACTTTCAGCCAAACAGGTTTGCTATTTGTCGCTCTCAAATGTAGAACTTTGACCTCCCTGAGAGGCCGTTTGGGAGCCTGGCCAGGCTCAGCTGCTGGGAACAGGATGGCACCCTCTTGCCAGAGGGGCCTCTCCATTGCATACTCCGTGTGTTGCCTCTCAAGGGGCGGTAATGATCCCTTTCCATTTATAAGTAAGGCTCACCAGGAAACTATTGAAGACTGGGGTGGGTGTGGGGGAGGTATGTCATGTCACAAGGAGACAATATGGAGTGAGACGATTTAAGCATCAAAAGGTTAATAGGGATAATGAAAGAAAGCAAGCATACAATCCCCAAACCCACAATTTTAACATCAACATAATACTATTTGCTGGTTTATAAACTTCTCCAAGTTCCTTCTGTTGTGATTGCTCCTTAAAATGCCCCTTTCCTGCTGTACTATCCAATCCTGGGTTTCTCATTGCATTGAGTTGCCAGGTCTCCTTAGTCCCCTCCCTCCTAGGACACGTCAGTCTTCCGTGACCTTTACACTTACACCGAGAAGTCTTGCCTTTTTGGTGAGTGTCCAGACAATGAATTAACGTCCCGTTCGACCGTTTCTGTAAAAGTTGTTCTGTGGTGCTTGTTACGTTTTACACGGATGGAGATTCTCTTCACGGAGTTCTAGCTCCATTCCCTGCCCCGCTCTTCTCTTTGTGTCTGATCCTGGCAGGTTATTTTGTGGCCTTGCCTCCATGTGAATTTCCCTGCGGTTTTCTCACGTCTGGGTGGAGGAGCTCTCATGGTTTTTTTGATATGGAGACTGCAGAAGTCATGGGCACCACATCCTGTCAGGCGGCACTCGGTGTTGATATTGATGAGTTCCACATGCTTTAGAGATTCGTGTAGCGATGGGGTGACACGTGCTCGGAGTGCTTGTGATTCTAGAGTCTGATGGATGGAGAGATGAAGGTTTATTATACAATTTTCTAGCTCTGTGCTTCCTTGATATTTTCCATAATGCAAATCAGGACTCCCAGCATGAAACGTATTCTGCTTGTTGATAGGAAATTTAGCGTAAGACGAGAAAGCTTGTCTCTCCTCTCCATTTCTGGATGCAGTGTTGCCGTGACGACTTCAGGTGATGGTCTCCCTTTGTTTTGACAGCTGTGACCGTCGCCTTCCTCACCGGTCTCGCAGTCATCATCGCAGTATCCCTTCTCAGATTCCTACTGAGGTAAGCTGATGTTTGGGAGCACGCAACTGGGGAAAGGAGAACTTCGAATTAACCTATGCAGGAAAACTAGCTTTGACCCCACAAGTGATCATTATTCCTTGATTAAATGAACATTCTTCTTATGAATTTGTTTTTCAGGTAAATATACACACCAAGGTTTACACCTCTCCAACAGGTTTTACATGTCCAGGTCACTGAAAGGGCCTCATTCTTCACACTGGGGACCTGTTCTCCCTGTCTCCTCCCGGGTTGTTTTGCCCCTGTGAACTTCAAGCCTCTTCCACTGGATTCTTAAGGGTCCCGTCTGTGTTTTCTTGTTTCTGTCCATAGGATCTCATATAGATCATGCTGTTTAGGGACAAAAGGTAATTTTAGCGGAGGCATTTCATTTCTTTGAATTAAAGTGTCAGTCTTTTGATAACCTGCAAATGATAGTCAAGTTTATTAGGTTTTTTCATAGGCACTTTAAATATGAGTAGATTTTTAAAAGTAGTTGCCAGCTATCATCAGGCCCTGTAGAAAGAAGTCCAGTCTCACCCTGCTCGCCCTGGACTTGAAACTCCTCTCTGCGTGTAATTCTGCATGCAGCCTTGGGCAGACGGCTGTTATTGGCAAAGCCAGTGTCTCTGGTGTCTTGCTCCCTTACTGTTTTGGCAGATCCATGGAAATGCAGGGCAGTGCCAGCGAGACTGAACCAGCAAGGATTCTGAACACAAAGTGAGACTAGAGCAACGCTCTCGTCTTCACTAGGGGAAGGCGGTTTGCTTGTTTCAAAGCAAAAAATATTTTTACTGTCTTCTCCTTTTCAAACCTCTCTATTTCAATTCCTTTTTCCCCTCTTTTTTTTTAATTGGGAGTTAATACATATACATATGTTGTCATTCCATAGTTCACTCATATTTTAATTCCTTAAAATTTTTAAAAAATTCCTTTTTACATGATCATCATATTAACAATGCTGGATAAAGTAAATTGGAATATGAGTTGTGGGGGTTACATAAAAGACATGCAAATGGCTTGTGTTGGATGTGTGGCTCACACTGATTTGAACCATTCGACTGTAAACGATACTTCTGAGACTGTTGAGTCACTAGAATTAGCTGTTTGATGATAAAAGGAATTAGTGTTAGTATTTAAAAATGTGACAGTGGTAACGTAGTTATACGTAACAATAAAAAGAATATCTTTTAGATTTATACACTGAATTACTTATGGACAAAACAATGTAATTTTGAGGATTAAAAAAAACTGATGCACACCAGGAGGGTGGGGTGGTGGGCGGGTGTACCTGAAGTAAGTGGCTCCGTTTCCTTGTAACTGGCGTTGGTGATGGATATGTGGGGCTATGATATTAGTAGCTTTCCTTCTATGTGTGCTTGAAAGTTTCCATGGCCAGGGGAAAAATAAAAAGAATGTTTCAAAGTTTATGGCAGACACAACATTGGGTGGGTTTGTATTTTGCAAGGCTCATAGGATATATGCTTTAGAATTCCCCCCCCCCCAAAATTGAAATCTTATTTTAAGAAAAACCCAGTTAAGATATTTATCTTTTGCTGTCATGCCAATCAATTTAATAGCATATGGATAGCTATGTCTTACCTAAACCAACCATTTAGAAAATAACCCAATGTATGTTATATTAACTATTTGAATCACTTCCAAGTTACTTCCAAACTTTTGCAGTGTGCACACACATGCATTCTGTTTGGTTAAGAGAGGGAGTGGATATGGGCTCTTGCGCTTGGTATTGAATGGGCGGTATTCATATTTCTTTGTGTGGAGAGAGGCCACATTCTAATTTTACAGCCCACTTTCCTTTATGTGCCACCTACGTGAATTGTTCCTACATTGTAGGCATTTTGGCTATTTCTATTGTTTTTTGCTAATTTAATTTTAACAATATGATTGGCAAGGCACCCAGCCCCGGGGACCGTTGATGACATTTGATCCTCACAAGGGCACTTTCATGAAGGCACCATCTTTACCCCTATTTTACCGAAGAAGAAACTGCTTCGAGGGCTGAACGTTTGTCACTGTTGATCCCATAGTTTGTTTTTGTTTTGTGGAGGGATAAAAAACAGCAACAACAAACCTTTTTGAAATGTTTTAATTCTTTGACTTGTAGAGCATGTGCATGTTCTATTTATTTCTGTCTGATAGCCGATCCTTTTGAAAATCCTGACAAAGGAATTGAGTTAACGCAGCTTCTTATGTACTTACAGCTTGGATGACTTTAATGATTGGATTTCTAAAGCAATACATTCTCGAGAAACTGATCGCCTCATCAATTCTGTGAGTTATTAGAATGTTTTGTGTACAATCTGGATGGAGTTTGAAATGTACAGCTCCCTACTAGTGAACTATTACGGGCTAGTTTAAATTAATCCTATTTATACTGTGGGAGGTGACATCAGGCTTCCTGAATTCTTTTTATTAATAAAAATGCTTTTATTTTTAGTTGTTGAAAATATATATACAGCAAAACAAGTCGATTCAATAATTCTTGCATGTACAATTCCTTGACAATGTTTACATTCTTTAAGTTGTATAACTATTCCCGCTCTCCTTTTCCAAATTATGAATATTTCTCTACCATCAACTTAAGCCCTGCCCCTAAGCACCCTATGTCACCTGTTGTCAATTTGATCCCTTCTAGGTAGCTTTCAAAAAGAGGACTCTGCTGAAGACAGTCTTTCTTTGCTAGTTAAGCTAGACTATTACCTGGTTTAAAGAAGACTTCAAGGGATAATTTTGGCGGATGACTTATGGCTTAAAAATGACCTCAGGGCAGTATTTTGGCTATTTCATCCAAAAGTTTGGATTCCATGAGAATTTGAAATTCGACTCAGTACTCACCTCTTTTGATCAGGATTTTAAAGAGAATGGGTCTTTGATGGAGACATTCAGTAATAGTTGCTGGGTACCATCTAGTTTTTCTGGTCTCACAACCAGGGACGCCTGCGTTCCTAATACCCAATAGCCCTCTCAACTTGTTTCAGAACTCTGGGCAGCGAGACCTTTTCTGCTTGGCGGGCAGCAGTGTTGACTTGACCAGCTGAAGTAGAGAGAGTATCAAGATTAAAACGGAACACAAAGAGGCGTCAACACTCAGCTTACAAATGCTGATGAAATAGCTTAGATCCGGGTTAAGAAACTCCCTCTCCCTGATAATCAGCACTTGGCTTCCGCTCTTGTGCTGGTCGCACCATGGCCCGGTTCTCTGTAGTCTCTGTAGCAGCCCTTCTCCGGCAGCTCGGCCAAAGGCACACGAAGTAGAATGAAGTGTCATCTTCACAAGCGCAGATTCATAGACGACTCAGAAAAACTTGGTTTCCACTCTGTTCGTTTCTCCCTTTCTTCCCTAGACCACGTTGTTGCCAAGGGCTGTTGACTTGGGCTGTACTCTGTGCAACAGAAGAAACCACGGCCCGGTCCTGCCCCATCCTCACGGTTGTTCTTTCTGTTTGAGCCTGGGGGTGCAACCATTGTGCTGCCCCATCTCATCCAGGGCCTTCCTCGTTGCCCTGCCCCTGTACTTTACCGAGCATGATGTCCTTCTCCAGGGACTGGTCTTTCCTGATAACATGCCCAAGGTGCACACGAATTGCTCTAGAACAGAGGAGAATGAAATTTCCTCCTTAGCATTGTGAACTGTCTTCTCTCTCTTGTTCTACTTTTTCTCCTGCAGGAGCTAGGATCTCCCAGCAGGGCAGATCCCCTCTGTGGAGACCCCCAGCCGGAAGTGTGGCGCCCGTCTTCTCCCCCGCTTCGCCTCCGCTGTGTAGACACCTTCAGGGGGTACGTGGAATTTGTAGGATTTTGTAGTTTGTAAGATTCCATATTTATGTATAACACACTGGCAGCTCCAGGTAATCATTGCACGTGTCTTCCATTGTCTCGGGTAGAAGGGGTTTCTTGGGTGTAACCGTGACAGCAGGCTCTCTGTACGTGGACACTGCCATGATATCCTCCTGGCACGGGAGCAGGGAGAAGAGTAAGGCCGGCATCAGTTTCCACAGCTCAGGTCCAGGTCACTGAAGCTCGGACAAAGAGTTGTACTTCGGCTCAGGCAATCTCTTGGCAGATAAAAAGATGTGCTCGCCTAGAAATGCAATGCCCGAGTGTGGGAAAATCGGGGCCTGCCTGTCCCCGTGCCAGCAAAGCACCTTGCAGCCTCTGGCCTTCAGCGTTTTGGTAGTTATTTTATAGCACTGTTAGCCCAGGGCCAAACTCTGAAAAGAAAGGATGAAATTACATAGCAGAAAATAAATATTTTAGTATCAATTCTTCCATGTCTACCCACCGAGGCCTTCTAAATCCCAGGGCTGTGAGTCCTCTTGGCCGGTGTGTGTCTTTGATGCCAGATAACAATAATGGTGATAGGAACACTTGGTAATGCCCCCACCCCCCACCCCCTGTGTATTGTTTCTTTAATGTTTCTTTTCTTTTTTAATCGTTTTATTAGGGGCTCGTATGACTCTTATCACAATCCATACATACATCAATTGTGTAAAGCACATTTGTACATTCATTGCCCTCGTCATTCAGTAATGCTCTCTGAGGTCTCCTTATGAACTGTTTCAATTTGCTTAAATCTCTTTACAATCCATTTGACCCAGCCTGTTGCCATGGAGTCGATTTGACTCCCGGCCACCCCGAGGGTTTCAGAGTAGAACTGTGGCTGATTCTTTGGAAGCCTGGCCTGTCTTCCTTGATGCCTCTTGATGGACTCGAACCTCTAGTCTTGCAGCTAGCAGTCGAGTATGCTAACCATGTGCACCGCCTGGAGAGTTTAACAACCCAATTCCATAGGTGTTATGAATATTCCTGTTACCACCCACTGAGATATTGCAATAACCCAATTCGATCGTCATTGTAATACCAGCAGTTTTTCAGGCGAAGACATTGAGTTAAGTGATTGCCCTGGGCCACTCAAGTACAAAGTACTCAAGTACTAGTGAGGCTGGCCTCTTGAGCCCCCACCCTTTCCCTCCATTCCCCGTGTTGCAGTATTGGCACCACACAGCAGCGTCCTTGGAGCATAGTTCACTGCGTTCCTCTGCCTTTCCGAGTTTCATCATAGACAAGACAGGAGCTAGCAGTTCTTAGGGGAACTGGCGAGGTGCCGTGGCAGTGCTTCCCCCGCCCCCGTGGCAGATGAGGTAACTGATGAGAGAGACCCTTTACCTCTGGTCTTAGGTGTAATAAGCGAAGGACCCACGGTTTCAGCCCTGTGGTCTTAGACTCTGCTCTCCGGGTGCCTTTGACTGCAGCTCATGAGCCTGCCACACCTCAAGAGCCAGCACACAGTTGAGTTATTGGAGGTGTTCTGCTCTGCCTTCTAGTTCTATCTGACATAGTACCAGGGTAAATTTTTCTGAAGAACATATTGATGCAAATGTTGGTCACTGTTAGGCTGGGTTGACTAGAGAAACAAATCCAGAGGCACTCATATATATGTTAGAGAGAGCTTTATATTAAGAAGTAATTTTAAAGGGAGAACAGATCGCAATGATCTATGTATTATCACCCCATCCCCCCAGGTAATGAACAACAGAATCATAAGTGAAGGGAGACA